ACCATACGGAAGCGGCTCAGACAGACACCCCCCGATTCACGGGAGTATAAGGGGGTGGGGAAGGAGGTCCAGCACAATCAGGCTTGCCAGATTCTGTTATTAAGCCAGTATCAGTCGAAGGAGCTTTAGCCTCCCTGTGCAGTCGATTTCCTCCTTTGGTCAACCCTGTGGGGCTGACCCTTCTCCACAGAGGGGAAAGTTAACTATGGAACTCGCTGCAACATCACACAGTAGTGCTTGGGGTGGGAATAATTTGTCTTGAAAAGGGGGCTGAGTGGAGCCATGGAAGGAGGGAGGGCCATGCTTATCCCTGTGCCAGGAGTGAAAGGCTCCTTGCACACTTGCCTTTGGTGGGCTTGCATTTGGCATCGGGTCGGCCGCTCTGAGAACCGGAACCGGCCCACGTGGCCCGTGGGGCTCATCCAGCTGCGGAGCTCTAAGCTGGGCTTCCATTTAGCAAACTGGGGGTGGGATTTATTAAGAAATGTTTTAAGATGTGGAAAGGCCATCTCTCAAATTCCCTTTAAAAGCCATTTCTCCGAATGGTGGTGAATGAAACAACTGGCTTCTGTTCCACTCCGAATCTTCTTCTTGGACAGCTTTCCAGAAATTACATACCCAGACACACACGTACCAACACCCAAACCTCGGGAAACCCCCGTGCACCCTGGGGCCCACCACAATCTCAGCGGGTTATTTGCACAGCAAGAAGATAGAATGATGTCAAGAAAGGTTCGGCTCAGCTCAGCTCCGGCATTCGCTCGCAGGCACACGTGCCCTGGCTGGAAGAAACCAAGAGGGGCTCGTATAACTGTTTCTGTATTTATTTTTGGGACATAAAGGAAGAAAAGTGGGGATGAGAGGCGGCGTTTCCACATCTGGCCCGGAGGCTCTGCTGTGATCGCAGATGGCAACGAAGTGGAGGGCCTCTTGCCTTTCATTCGAGCGTTGCGAGGGCCTGCCGGGGCGGAACAGGTGCGGGGCAGGAAGGGGGCAATCTCCCCCTGGCAGGACCGCTTTGGGTCCAAGGCACCTGGGCCAGAGAGGAAGCACCTGTGGATCCATTCCGCCGGCCGCAGTAATCTTAATCCTGGTTAAACGAACCTGCCAAACAGAGCTGGGGGGCTGCTGTCGAGGGGAGTCTTTGGGTGGCAAAGAAGGGGCTGCCTCTGCCATCCGCGTGGCTTGCCCAACTCCTGATGTGCACCGAGGGGTGAGGGGTATAAGGAGAAGGGAATTCTGTTTGGGCCAAACTTTGGGAGGAATTTCTGAACGGGGCCCATGACTCCGCCACGGGGCCCGTTCCTTTGCGGGAGATGTTCGAGTTCAGGCTCGCTGGCCCCCGGTTAAGGAAGACGATGCACTGGAATGACGCCTGCACTAATGGGGGGTTGGAAGCGGCCCCTTGCACTTTAGCACTCCTCCTTCACTTGCCCCTCTTTTTTTGGACAGTGGTTCTCAACCTTGGCCCCTTGAAGACGCGTGGA